CCACTGAACTAGAGGAAAGTTGTATGTTTCATCGTTGCTATACTGCACCCTGTCTGGCTCATCTCCTCCCTGTGACCTTTCTGTAAGGGGATGCCCTAGACTGCTTTCAAAGGAGATTCACTGGAGATTTAATCCCTGCGGGGACCCTGCAAATGGATTTTGGGCTTCCACTGACATCCAGAGCATTCTGTACATTGGGTGTTTACAGTTTAAGCTTTGTTAGAGTTCCTGCCTTGGCAATTAGATTTTATTATTTAAAATTCTTTGGATCACACAGACTGGAGTGCTTCTTCCCATGTGGGCTTTGTTGATGCCTCCTAAAAATTGAACACTAAGTGTTTAAAAGCCTCCACCAAAAGAGTCAAAAGAGTGCCCATGGACTAGGAAAGCATTTTCGGCAAGGACACATCAGACAAGGGTATCAACTTTAAAATCTATAGAAAGCTCCAATTCCTCAACAAGAAAAAGATGAATAATTCAGTAAAAAATATGGACAGAAGGTATGAACAGCTTACCAAAGAAGACATTTGTCGTGTTCGTTAAGCGCTGTCGGGTCGGTTCCAGCTCCTCTGACCTGATGTAGAACAGAGTGAAAGCCTGCCCAGTCCCGCGCCATCGGCACCTTGGTTCTTAGGCACTTTAGGCGGCCAAAAAAAATAAACTTTGATGCCTACCAGGAGTGGGAGTGGAAGGGAAAAATATAAGCTAGAGGATCTAATTCAAAATCAAACTCACTGATGTGTCAATTCCAACTCATAGTGACCCAATAGAGCAGGGTAGATCTAACCCTGTGAGTTTCTAGGCAGAGAGCCTCATTTTCTGTCTTGGAGCAGTGGTGGTTTTGAACTACTGACCTAGGGACTAGAGCTCAGCTCTTAACCCACTGTGCCAACAGGGCTTCTTAGGCTAGAGGATAGATGGGGCTATTTTGAGTGAAGGGGAAACCAATATCAAACACAAAGGAGGTGGGAATGGGGCGAATGATGGGAACAAGGTAAGACAGTGGGAGTCTTGCTGAGTTGTTGAATTTAAAACCAACCAATAGACTGCTCTGTAAACATAGCACTGAATTTACAATATAAAATAATAATAATAAAAAAGAATTATTACCCAAATTCCTTTTTCCCAGATTTGTGATCTGTTTTTTGTTATTCTTATTAATGGGTTGGTTACTGCCTTAAAATGTTTTTCTTGACCTGGCTGATAAATTCCCTTCTTGTAGTTTGAATTTATGGTTGTCATGATGGAAAAAAATTATTTGGCCCAACTTTCCTGCCCCTTTTCTAACCAGTGCCTCTCTAGCTGTATCTACGAGGGCTGGTAGTATTTTTCTCTTCTGGCTCTACAGCTTCCATTCCAGCATTTTTTGGTTAAATTTACTGTCGTTGGAGCCCACATGTTTTTCTCTTCTTTCTGTTCTGTGTTGAGGGCAATGCCCAGGGTAGGAAGAATGGCAGCATCAGCAACCCCAAAGGAAGGCTTTGATGACCTATTGTAACTCTCCTGGGCTTGCTCTTCGTACTCCGTTGTGCGCTTTTGTGATAAGTTAGTGAGAAACTGCTGTTGATTTTAAGAGGAGACTGAAGGGGGAGGGACAGGTTCAGAAACTCAGTGTGCAGCCCATGAAGTAGAGCCACATTGGAAACTCGTTTGTTTCCTGTTGACCTACTGCTGGTGAGGGGATTAGGCGGAAGCTTGCTTTTAGTCGTTCTTGTATAGACGAGGCCCTCTTCCTAAGTTTTAAACCCGTTTCTGTTATGATGTAATCAACTCACTGCTATTGAATTGATTCTGGCTCATAGTGACCCTGTAGGATAGGTTAGAACTGCCCTGGTGGGTTTCCGAGGCTATAAATCTTTACAGGAGTAGAAAGCCTCATCTTTCTCCTGTGGAGTGACTGGTGGTTTCAAACTGCTGACCTTAGGGTAAGCAGCCCAATGCAAAACCACTGAGCCACCAGGGCTCCTGTGGTGAAAATATACATAATAAAAATTTACCAGTGTACTAGTTTCTGCATAGACAATTCAATAATGTTGACTACATTCTTCAAGTTGTTCAGTGATCTTTGCTTTCCTTTTCCCAATTGTTCTACCACCATCAATACTCCTAAACAAAAGCTTGCTTTCCCCCATCTTGCCTACCCCTGGTAATGACTAATAATTAAAATACATATCTGTAATGTGTTATTCTGAGTAAACTAGGGAAACAAATCCACAGAAACTCATATGTATGAAAGAGAATTTTATATACAGGGTAAGTGTACATTAAGAAAGCATCCCAACCCAGTTCTGTCCAAGCCCATAAATCCAACATTAGTCCATATGTCTGACACTGGTCTACAAAGTCATCCTCCTTCTCACAAAACACACGCAATGACGCCGACTACTGGAGGAAAGCCGAATCAGTGAGCGTGTAAGCATCTCAGCACTGTCAGGGGTCTCCACACGGCTGTTCCAGCGCCCAGGGCTGCATCAGATTACGTCCCTGTGGCTTCTCAGGGATGTCTCGCAGGAGGTGAGCCTTGCCAGCTGAAGCAGAGAACTGGCTAAGGCAGCTGCACCCTGCTCCAACCATCAGAAATCAAGAGACCTGAGAACTAAAAAGGCGAGGGTCACCGAGCCATTTATATCTCCACCCTTCAGTTAATCCAACCTGTGTTTATCAGCCAGGTTGGCACAATAAACCTTTACTATCTCAATCCACCCCTTGCCAGCTTGGCACCTGTATACAATTCTTTAGCCTCACAATTGCAGTAATATCTGCAAGGGTGGAGGTACAGTAACAGTCATCGGCTGCTGGCAGGATTGTGTTCTTCAGTGTCTGTAGAACACTGCATCTTCCTGGGAGGATGTTACAGAAAAACACATGAAAGAGATTTGGAGTAAAATGCTGAGTTCTGTGAACACCCTCCATGCATTTATTTCATCAGGATAAGAGAAGAGATTGGTGGAAAAATTGTCCAAATGGCAAGAATGCTGGACTTATAACTTGATGTCACCAAGGTATTCTTTACATTGAAGGACAAAAAAAGAAAAATGGAACCCCAAATGCTCCTAACTGAACCAGTAGGTCACATCAGGATACATGGAGAAAAGATTGAAGTTGCCAAGGATTACGTCTTGCAATCAACCATATGAGATCAAAAGGGCAGCATTTACCCGAGGACAAAGTTCAGGAAATTAGAAAAGAAGAACTAGGGTAAGTGATGTCACATTGAAGGATTGCAATTAATGGAATGAAACAAAATGTGTAAGAATTGCTGCGAAAAAACAGATGATCTGCTCCATAAGTTTTTCATCCAGTTCACAAGAAGTTAAGACCAAAAAAGGAAACAAAAAAAGAATTCCGCTTTGCTTGGATCCACAATCGTTCATGGAAGCAGCAGTCAAGTGCTCCAATGACTCATTGCATTGGGTTGCATAAGACCTCTGTAAAGTGTTGAAAGCAAGGAAGTTTTACTTCAGTCTCCTCATATACATCTGAAAGTTGGGCAATGAAGAAGGAAGACCGAAGAAAAATCCAGGGGTAATCCAGACGTTTGAGAACCTTCCACGAGTGAATTAATTACTGCAACTGGCAAAGCACCAGTGCCATCTACTGTTTCTCCGTTGCCGGAGTCGATTTTTAGGATTTGTATATTTTAATGCATGTATTAAAGTGCATTTATAAGTTTATGTGCAATGTTTCTAGCTTTAAAGATAAAGACCAGATTTATAAAGATATTAATAAAAGACAGTAATAATGAAAACTTAAGATAGAGAAATATTAAATGTAAGAACCGACTTTTGATAGAGGTGTAACAGAACCCTGTCATAGTTGAGGGTTACCTATATCTGTGTGGTTACATGTTTCAGTTGCTCTTATTACTAAATAGAATTCCCATTAGGTAGATTGATAATTTGTTTATTTGTTGGTGTATGTTTGGATTGCTTCCAGTTTTGAGTTATTACGTATAAAGTTTTTATGAACACTTAGGTATCTGTTTTTATGTATATATAAATGCTTTCATTTTTCTTGGGTAGCTACTTTTAGGAGTAAAATTAATAAGCCATATGGTAAATGTATATTTAGTGTAAGAATCTGCAATTGCTCCATATCTTAGTCTGCACTTATTATCATCAATCTTTTAAATTTTAGTCATTCCATTATGTTTTGACTGAAGGGCACTCATTGGTTCAGTGGTTCAAGCATTGGGCTACTGACTGAAAGGTCAGTGGTTCAAAAGTTCAAACCCAGGGGAAAAAGATGGCGGCTGGGTGCTTTCATTTGGGTTGGTAGCCCCGGAAACCCAGTGCGGCAGTTCTGTCCTCTCCTGTAGGGGTGCTATGTATGAGTCATAGGCAGTGGGATAGCATTGGGTTTGTTATTATTTATTTACTGATTTGGTGGTAGGTCATTCTAATTTTAATTTCTTTTCATATGCTTATTGTTCTTTTTTTCTGAGTAGGTAGCCAGTTTTACCATCATTAATTGGAAATACTTTCTTTACCTGATGAATCACTTACATACTTTTATTGCAAAAGCTACCAATCTTACATGTAAGAGGCTAAAATTTTGGCAGCTGCTTATTGAAACGTTGGCAGTTCGAATCTACCTGGGGGCTTTTTGGACAAAAAGGCTGGCAATCTATTTCCCAAGATTCTGCCATGGAAATTCTTAGAGCACAGCCCGCCTCTGATGCACATAGACACAGTGACAGTTGGTGGCATAAACTTTGGATTCTGTTCAATTACATTGATTTATGTTTTTATTTTCACCCTAATCCACACTGTTTTAGCTTTATAGTAATTCTTGAGATCAAGTACTCAGATTTGATTCTATTATTTTAATTGTTTTGGTGATTGTAGATTCTATGTGCACCCATCTATATTTTAGAATCAACTTACCAACTTGATATTGCTATAATTGTTAAATTACTTGTCTTTCAAAATTGAACTGTCTATGCTGTTGAGATCTAGTTGGAAAGCTGATGATAAGGTTAATTAATTTATTAAGTAGGTTAGAATTTAGTGGCAATATAGGTTTTGAATTCTGATGCTGCCATATACTTTCAGTGTGGCTTTAAGTCAGCCTGTAGTACCTATTGTCTGATTACTGTGAGGGTGAATAAGGAAATGTACATAAAATCTTCAGCAAAGAGGCTTTTGTGAACCAGGCTCAGCTGTGATAGCAGCTACTCCATATCGTTAATATCAGTATATTTCCGAGGTGCAGATACCATGTCCTCCATTTCTACATGGGGTTCCATTACTTATATGGGCTCATATTTGATTCTGTTTTTCAAATTAGGATGCCAATTGCAAGTATAAAATCTAAAGCTAAAAGCTGAGTTATCACTTCCTAAGTATCCATCCATCTATTATGTATTGCTTTGCCAAATGAATCACGTTTAATTTTTGGTCCAATTCTTTTCTGTGCCATCAGAATCTTGAACTCAATGACGATACTGTTCTGAATGAGATACAGTTAGCCGATTGTGAACAGTTTCAGATGCCCGACCTATGTGCCGAAGAGCTTGCTGTCATCCTGGGAGTTTGGTAAGTTAATGACTTACTTGGCTACTTTGAATACCTGCATGGGTGTTTTTTTTCATTTGTAAGGCATCTTTATTTAGGGAGGTCTCAAGAAGACCAGGTGACTATGGGATTCTTAAAAAGGCTTTTTATAAATATTAAAAGTAAATGAGAATGACTATTTTGACTTTTGAGGATACTTATTTTAATACTGTTAAGTCTTATATATATTGGAAATAGCCACACACCCCCACTCCCACCCCCACCCCTCACACAGTTTGAAACAATTTCAAACTTAGAAAAAGTTGCAAGGACAGTGCCTGCTTCCGACATGATATCCTGGAACCCGGAATCCTTTAGTGTTCGTTTCCAAAGCACTAGAGTATTTTCATCCACAGTCACAATCGAACTGTCAAAATCAGGAGAAACTCTCACTATTTTCAGAGGATATGGTTTTATTCCCACAGACGCCACAAAAATAAAACTGAAGGAGTTTTATGGACCATTAAATCTTTATTGTTTTGTCAAAACTACTTGGTTATTTTGTGAATTCTAGAACATCTGATATAATGTATATGCCTCTGGATTAGAGACCAGTGCACTGTTGATTGCCATAAACTAGGTTAATATGAAGGATGCGAACAGTGATTTTGTGTGAATGGCTGGTCTCTGTCTCATTTCCCCTATAAAGAAGTGATTTGGACATTGTGAATGGCTGGGCTGATCTGAGAAGGAGACTTAGAGAAGGTGAATGTCAGAAGAGTATACAGATTGGTCCAAGGGATGACTTAATACTCTTTCCCTTGTTAGCGCTTGCTTCAGTTCTCAATATACCTGACTGCTTCTACATAAAACATGGGAATAATCCCTTAGGTTACAAGAATCTTACAGTAATTCAGACAGATAATTCCCTGGGAAGAAGAACACTCTTGATTTTCAAGAATGCATAATAAATAAGACTAGGAACCAGTAAATTCTGGCACATAGTTCTTTTAAAATTTTTCTACTTACTAGTTTTATTGGTGTATAGATCACACACTGTATATTTCAATAGTTCAATCCTATTAAGAAGAGCTGTAAAATAAAAAAAGAAGAAGAGTTCTAACACCATCAGTGTTAGAACTTTTTCTCTGCTCTTGTGCTCATCTTGTACATTAATCCAGTTTCTCTCTCTGTAGATTTTCCTATCCTGGATTTCATTGTTTTGGATTTCAAGTATTGCTAAGCATTTTTTTCCCAGATGGGAAGTTGCTCCTCCCATTGTCCTATCAACAGACATATGCCCTTCCCCCATTTTGACTTGAATTTCTAGTCATGTTTCCTTATCACCTTGCTGAGAGTCTCTGTAGGTATGGTTGACCTTCGCACCATGTTGTACGGCAGCAACTGCATGGCCTCCCTCTCTCCACATCTGGAAAAACTGACCCCAGCTGAGGTGATGTCTCCTCTAGAGAAGTGGTTTTCAGATGTACATAGAGCGGGGGAAATAATATGTTTCATGGCCCGTGTGCAGGCTCTTTACCTATTTATCTGGGAGGCCAGATTAGATTACATGACCAGGGAGAGGAGCCTGCCTTCACCTTGATGTTTATCTTTAGTAGTGAAATCATACAATATGTGTCCTTTTGTGTTTAACTTCACTCAGCAACATGGATGGGTTCCAGGTCCCTCCATGTCATGAAGTGTTCCATCACTATTTTTCAGGGATGCATAGTATTCCATTGTGTAGATGTATCAGTTTCTTTATCCATTCTTCTGCTGAGAGGCATCTGGGCGGTTTATAGCTTCTTGTTAGTGTGAACTTCTGATCTGACTCAGTGACTAATGAGGCCATAGCGATTTACCTTAAATATTTAATAGTTTAATTTAGTATCAGAAGTTTGTATGTCAGAGGTAAAGAATGGTTCATCTTGAGCCAGGTTCTTATCTTGGGATGAATTGAATGCTCCTGCTTCTCTGTAAGAATCATAGTCTCAGAACTGAGAAGACCTTAAAGATTAATTGGATCATTTTGCAGTGTGATAAATAGTTACTTTGTGAAGTCAAATTAGAAATGTCAAAGTGTGTATGCTGGTGCAAATTTGGAAGGGGAGGGCTTAAAATGAAATTATTTCATAATTCCTCTATTTAATTTATACTTATTAAAACTGAAAGGTTTATTTTTTATATAAATATTTTTATAATATTGTATTAAAAATTTCAAGTAAGTAGTACTATTGTATGGAGTGGTATTCCTTTTTCATTTTTAATGCATATTAAAAATGTTAATGCTCTCAGTGACTAATGAGCCCTTAGCATTTTACCGTATATATACATCGTATATAAGCCAACCCGAATATCAGCCGAGGCACCTAATTTTACCCAAAAACTGCATTTAAAATGTGCTGAAAAACTCGGCTTATACACAAGTATATATGGTAATACATACTGAACATAAGATTGGAATGTGAAAAACGCAATGTAATGGAATTTCTTATGTCAGGGAGAATAATATAATATGTAAAACAAAAGTTTACTTTTACATGTTTATGTAAGTACTATATTACAAAGCATAACAAACACTAGTGAATTCCCACCAGTCAATTTTAAGAACTAGAAATTAAAAACACAAATCTTAAGAACTAGAAATTGCAAATCCCATTGACATAGTCTGTATGCTCCCTTACCTCATCCTCCAGCCTCACCTCAAAAAGTAGACACTCATGAATTTTCATTTGATCATTATCCCATTTTCAAGTACATATTAAGAAATATGTATACCTATTTCATTGTATTTTATATACCTACAAATAAATGACTTCATTTTGCTTGGTCTTGAGCTTTAATTGCTTCCTTTTTATCTACCCTTAAAAAACTCCTTCATTTTGCAGTCTCAGAAGTGGTATCATATTTTTCGAGTTTCATAGAAGTGGAATCGTCGTCTCTGCAGTTTTCTGTGACTTGGCTTTCTGTGACTCGTTCATGCTGCCGTTTGTACCTGCAGCTCACCTTGCATCGTTCCATTGTAGGGCTGTAGCATAATTGACTCAGCTTCCTTGTGGACATTGGGTGGGTTCCACACTTTGGCTGTCACACATAAATGTCCTGTGGGTATTCGTGGTTCTGATTCCTGGTGCACACATTCGAGGTCTCTCTAGCCTACATCTGGGAGTGGATTTGCTGGGTCAAGCATGTGTTAATGTAAATGTTCACTTGATAAGATACTACCAAATTGTTTTCATAAGATGATTCTGCCCAGTTATATTTGACTCGGTAGTTCTCTTTTACATCTTACTTTTTTCCCCTGCCTAGTAGGTATAACCACATTTTTGTTTTATGGACAAAATAATAAATATTTAATAAATAGAAGTTCTTTAATAAATCTCATAAGTAAGAGTTAATGCCATCTTAATTTTTTGTGTGTGGGATGGTAGATTTGGTGTTTACTATCTTATTTTTACTAGTAATGTAAATTATGTTGATATTTAGTATTTCAACCCTATTAGACTTATCTTTGGCATGCTCATGCCTACATTGTATATACTACAAGAATACTGAAATGTGTACTCAAATATAAATCGATTTTGGTGTTTAAAATTGAGGTTTTGGTAGATAAGACATTCATTTTATTATTATTTTTCTACTTTAAAGCACACATTTACAAAAGAATAATCCCGTTCACAAGTTAACTGAAGAGGAGCTGTTGGCATTTACATCTGTGAGTAATGTCTCTTTTTTCTTTCCATTTTTCCCTTCTAAGTGATTTTGCCTCTGACTAGTCTTGCTTCACCCTGCTCATGTTGAAACACTGCCATCCAAGGTCATTAAGGGGAAGACAACCAGCCAACCAGCCAGTTTGGTTTTTAAGCAGCACGTGTCTTGCTGCTGATTTAGACATAACTTTTTCTTGGCACTTACTCGAACTTGAGGCCAGTGACCAAATAGTGCTTGGTCATTTTTTTAATCCGGGGGCCTAGCCCAGTTTTTATATATTTAATAAATGTTTGTGGAACGAGTAAATGAAGTGAGAGGGTAACATGCTAGCTGCTGTGGTTTGCAGCCTGCTGTGTTCAAAACTGAGGCTGACCTGGACGTCGGGGAGAAAAGAACATCAGAGAACTCGGAGCAGGAGTAGGAGAGGTGGTTACAGACCTGAGGCCAAGGAAGGAGAGTGTACCAGGAGCACCGAGGTGTGTGTTCATGACCCAGAGCAGTCAAGAGAAATGTGGACAAAGGGAAAAGCTATTGGCTTTGACAATGAGGCATGCACTGCTTAGCTCTTGTTTCAGTGGAATCTCTGGAGAGTTATCTCACTCTAGAGCAGTGGTTCTCAACCTTCCTAATGCCGCAGCCCTTTAATACAGTTCCTCATGTGTGGTGACCCCCCAGCCATAAAATTATTTTCGTTGCTCCTTCATCACTGTCATTTTGCTACTGTGATGGATTGGGCAACCCTAGTGAAAGGGTTGTTTGACACCTCCCCCCCCGGGGGGTTGTGACCCACAGGTTGAGAACCACTGTTCTAGAGCATTAAGGAGATGATAGGTGGTAAGAAAATAAATTTGATAGATAACATATTGGAGAAGAAAGACAGTGAAAATGAAAAATAGAGTACTAGATGGTTGGGCATATAAGATCAAAGGCATTTTCAAAAAGGGAAAAGCCACAGAGGAAGAGGAAGCTGTCAGCCAGTCTCTTTCGCTTTATGGATGAAAAGAAGCTACACCCTTCCTTTAATGAATACAAGTTGCTTTCATATCTATCACTTCCAAAGGCATTTTTATTATCGTAGTTAAGAATCAAGTTAGGGTTCTGACGTATTTTCTTCCTTTATTAATTTATGGATAAGGCAAAAGAAAGTACTTTTTTCCTGGATGAGAAGAAAAGCTTTGTACTCTAATGATCGTACTTTGTACTATAATAGAAACTTTGAAAACAACTGCATTCTCGGAGCTGGCTAGATGTTAGTCTCTTGACCTCTCTGGGTGCCTGTTTTATTTTCCCATTTCAGTATTTATAGAGATCTTTGATGTTTATCTTTATAGTACATTTGTTTTAGGTAACTGGGAATGTCTGTATTTAAGAAATTTGATAAGCACATGTGTTAAAAATTTTAAATATCTTAAACAAGTAGATTAAAAGTATTTTTTAAAAGAATGTTATGTACCTTTCCATTTTCTCATTCAGCTAATATCAACTCGGTAATTATTCTGTACCATGCATCGAGTCTTTCATAAACAACTGGGCTGGTAAATAGTTATCAGTTTGTATCCTTGTGGGGGAAGTAGCCGTAGACAAAGAGAGAAGTTGCTCTTTAATGGAAGAGCTCAGGAGAAATACAAAGCAGGATCAAGGAACAAGGAGGGGATGGTGCAGCTGTTTGAGACCAGTTGTTGGGGAAGATCTCAAGGGAAGGTGGCATTTGGACACAGATCTGAATGGAGTGAGGGCTCAACACAAGATATGGGGATCAAAGGATGAACTTGGAAACCTGGGTTTCTTTTTTTCTTTCATACAGTTTTATTGGCACATAATCCACATATAATTTGATTGTTTAAGAAGCATTGTACAGTCAGTTTTTAAGAACATTTTCCTTTTTTTTTTGTTCCCCCTGCTTAAATCATCTTTAAAATGAGTTGTGTAATCACATTCAGTTCTAGTGTTCCCTCCCCCTCCTGCCTTCATTGTTTACTAGCCACCCCAACCACCCACCCCCTGCCACATACACATCCCCTACAAACCCTTGCCATGCAGCCACCCCTTCTGTGCTTCACAAACTGGTACACCCAACAGAAACAGTAAAGAACAAAAATGAAATAATGTCGTAAGGATAAAACAGTAGTAACAAAAAGATAAACATATAAACTGTGAGGAAAAAGAAAAGACCGCCATCAATATTTTAAGAGCCAGGGAAGAAATTTTTATCATGGAACAAGTCAGAGATCCTTGCACTTAGAACAAATTCAGGCTGGGACGAGAGGGAGGTCAACTGACCCAGTGTCAAGTTTGATCCAGCATCGTTGGGATTACGGTGATCAATGTTTGATAGTAAGGTTGTTGCAGACCTTTACCTGTGGCTAGAGAGGATCTACCAGCGGTTTAATCTGACTAGATATGCTGTAGTTGGGTTTTGGGCTCCCACTGCCCTCCATAGCCTTCCACAACTGGGTGTTCACACTTTTAGCTCTGATACTTTCCCCTTTGTCTTATTTGAATTTTGTTATTGTCATCTTTGGATCACACAAGCTGGTATGATTCTTCCGTGTGGACTTTATTGACTTCTCGCTTAGATGGCTGCTTGTTTGAATACAAGCCTTTAAGAACCTAGACACTATTCTAATTGTAAGCCGGGCACCATCTGCTCTCTTCACCACACGTTGCTATAGCACTGTTATCTTCAGTGATCATTTTGTGCGAGTATCGAGCAGGGCCACGTTATCAGAACCAGCTGTTCTTGGATGGGGCCAGAGCCAAGTAGGAGCTTAGAATCCATCTGCTTGTGCATGGAATATGGACGCCTGAGGTTTCCTTTGCCAGTCACCTCACGACAAACTCCCGTAGGATCAAACACACCAGCACCAGCACTACACCAATCAGCAAGCAACCAAATGAACAACAAAACAAAACAAAACACCAAGCAAAAGGTAGGAAAACAAAAGCCCATAAACCAACAAAAGTACAACCTTGTCGATCGCCCCCTGAGCTAGAAGGCAGTTGCACTAACGGACATCAGTTTTCCCAGTGACACGGCCCTCCGGACACTGTCTGTGTGAGTGAAGATCCCCTGGAGCCGCCGCCCATGAGTTGTTGCCCCACACAGTAAATCTCCTCTTCCCTTGAGCTCTGTTTACCCCAGCATGGGGCTTGGTGCAGGGGGAACTTCCTAGATCAGTTCTCCAAGTACAGATCCCTACCCAACCGATCAACGACTTTGAAGTGGGCATCGAGGCATCCAATACATGGTGATTCTGGGTCTCCCGCCATGGGACACCCCCTGAGTCAGGGGTTCCCCCCAGGGTCCAATGATTGCCACCTTTACAGTCCGGGGCAGCCACTCTCTGCTTCGTCTCCCATCTGAACACCCCGGTCCTCAGTCCAAAGGTGTAGGCAACCTCAAGACAGGGCTCACTTCATTCAGCCACATCTCTAGGCCATGTCCTTCTGATGTAGCCCCTGTGAATGTCATGTTGCCTGCATGGCCAGCATCCACTGAGACCTGGTTTCTTGTGATGACTTAGGGAAACATACAGGCTATGATAGGTAACATTCTCGCCGGGAGGAATTATGGGGAGGGTGATCTTCATGGGCTAATCTCATAAACATTATTGTGGCACATGTATTACCCATAATTATCCTTAAATATTGAAAACACTATTTGCTTTCAAACGTTTGTTTTTTAATTGTTTTCCGGGGGTGTGGGTGTAGTTTTCTTTCCTTGCACCTTTTTCTGTCTTTAACCTATTCTTGCTCCTGTCTATGCTGAGATGCTTCTGAAGCAGAGTTAACTTCTGAAGTTAACTCTGGTAACTTCTGATGGTAATAAACTCATCTCAGCTAGCTTGCAGCGAAGGTTATAAGTTCAAATTTTAGACTTGGCCTCAAGGGCTTTGTGCTATGTGATTTTTTCGCTGTTTTCCTTCAATTCTTTTCCAAAACAGAGTGGGCCTGAGGACTGATGTCTTCTTGGAGGATAGCTATTTGATTATGGTCATTCACATGATCAGGCCTGCGTCTTCCAAAGAGATGAGTTTCTTAATCTTGAATCTTTAATTGAATCTTGAAGTATGGCTCAGAACCTGTGAATGAGGAGGAATTTTAGGAGCTCCACATATCCATCCCCCCACATCCCTTTTCTAATATCCAGTGAAGCACATCTGGTCTTTAACATCAGAAAAACTCAGGTCAGTCCATCTTTTCACCCATCAGTCCTTGCTTGTCCCTTTATGCAATAGACTGAAGCTGATTGTTGAATGAACTCGAACTCATCCTTGGTTTGAATGGAGGAAGAAATGATATCCTGTTGCAACTCTAAATGAGGACATAGTTGAGGCACATGACTTTGGAACTCTTGTGTTATGAGTTGTCTACCCCTGTCTTGGCACAAATCATGTTTTGGCTTATAATTATGTATGTGTATATGCGACTTACCTTTCCCACAAGACTGTAAGTTCTTCAGTGTTTGAGGCACTGGGTTCTCTTCTGTCCTTGTCCTGTAAGAGGCCTGCGACAGTGTGTCAGTGGTTGAATCCTGGTATTCTTAAAGAACTGCATGCAGGACACAAGAATGAGTGAGATATGTGCAGTGGGACTGGGTTCTGCCCTGCATTTGGGTGCCGCACTGTTTCCCTTGGTTTGCTGATTTAGGGAAGACTAGATCAGGAGGCAGTTTTGAGAACAGATTAAGGAAATACTGCATGGCTTACAGTCAAGAAAGGTGCGCGTCAGGGTTGCAGCCTCTCACCAGACCTACTCAATCTGTATGCTTTGCAAATCATCAGAAACTGGTGTGCTGACTTTAATGAATGTTCTCTTTTTGGGTGCTACTATCCATTGAAATGGCTACACAGAAAATCAGAGACAAAATTCGCTATTAAAGGTGCACGTTAAGGAAGCTCACAAGTCGCAGTGCTAGTGAGAAATGCTCAGGGTAGTTGTTTACCAGGACATATTACAAAGTTTCATGTCTGCTAATAAATGCTCAGTCGGGCATAACACTAT